TAGCCCAGACTTTGGAGGACATGTACAAAGGGCTGAATCCCAGCTTCAAGATATGTCCAGCTCCTTGAATATATTGAAGAATATGTCCAATGTGCTGAATTGTATGTTCAGTACCTTGGATAGTTGCGCGAAAGTCTGGGATAAGATCCGACATGGATTTTCCACAGTACGCACACCAGAATCACCAGTCACTACTGAACTTCTAATATGCACATTTGAGCATCTTTTGCTCCTTCACATAAACTGAATTAGGTTGGATGCCTTCAGTCCAAGAGGTTCAATTGGATGACCTTCCACCCCCTTCCTCCAATTCCTTTATTCTATAACTTACATAACAAATTTCATAAGGAAAGCAGCTTCTTCTGAAGGTTTATCTCCAGAGCATTTTAACTAAAAATCAGATTCAACGTTCTGCACATACTGAACACCTGAAGTTAGGCTCTCATTCACAGAAAATATAACTAGAAGTAACAAAGAACTTGAATTCTCCCCCCTTTCCATTGCTGCATTTAGGTGAAAACCAGAAACCATTGCTCTATTTGTAGTCATGACAACCATAAAATATTCTATTCCAGCAATAATTCACACTGAACGTTTGCTCGTGGGTTCTGTTGTCAGGAGGAAACTCAAAATATGGTGAGTACGGCTGTTATTTTACCAATGAAAACTTAGAGCTCACAGAACTTTCAAGTGCATTGGTTCTTTCAAATCTACATACATGAAAAAAAATGACATTTCCATGAAATGGTCATGCTAAGGGCTCATGTTAGCTTAACCTACAGCAAATAAGGGTCTAATTCACTGACCTGGCTGATTTTCATTAACTCTTTCTTTCTTAAGAAAAAGAGTTGTTGTGAGAAATCCATTGTCCAATTTTATGTTATCAACTGCATTACTCAATTCTAGATTTTTAAAGATATATAATAAGTACACCGTCATTAAAAGAATGTTGTAACTATGGCACCGATGGTGATTTATCTCTTAAGAGAAACCAAAATATTAATGCCATAGGGCTGCTGTGAGTTTTCCGGGCTGTATGGCCATGCTCCAGAAACATTCTCTCCTGACATTTCACCCACATCTATCGATCTATAGATTTATATACCGCTTTTCCCATCCCGGGGGTGGGGATGGGGAGACTTGCTTCTGGAGAGAATGCTTCTGGAGCATGAACATACAGCCTGGAAAACTCACAACAACCCAGTGATTCCAGCCATCAAAGACTTTGGCAACATATTAATGCCATGTTTTATTATAAGCCCAGAAAAACCATCTCTTGTAGACAACCTCAGTGAGGGACAAGTTATCCTGATAAGAGTTAGAGACAGGTTCTGCCGAGAAGAATAAAACTTTGTTGCACATTCTAATAAGAAGCGGCAACCCACTGTGTGCAGCTAAAGTTTCAAACTGTTGAATGAGAGAAAAACATGGTTGCACCTGTACTAATCCTGATAAATGAAAAGGAAACGGCGCTTCCTGTTTAATCCAGTCATGGTGCCTTACTAAACAAAGAAAATAACATGTTACTGTTTCCCTCATGCAACCATAATATCTGTGGAAGATGTAAAGTTTCAATCAATTGCTAAATTACAAGAGACAATAATACGGGTACGCGTATTTACAACCTGCAACCTACCACAGAATGCTTTTTAAAGAACTCTTGTCAAAGGGTACACTTTAAAACAAACTGAAAACAAAACAAAAACCTATTGGGCATTTTTAAAAACATTACACCTTTCATTGAAAAGACACTTATTAACTTGATGCATTCATCTGAACATTAAAGGCTTTAGTGAGTGCTAACATCATCTGTGTTCACTGAGAATCTATTAATCTTCTTAGTCACATTACGGGAACAGTACATTTTAGAGGTCACACTTGCGTAGTACACACTAAGAACATATTATTGTCACCTTAGGAATGCATTTGTATGAAAAATGCAGACACATTCAAATACTAGGTTGCAAAAAAAATCCACAAAGTGAATCTCTCCACAACAACAAAAGAACACAATCCCAAGAATATAAACAAAGCTTCCAAAATAGATGGTGGAGGAGTCAAAAGAGAAAAGTCCTGCTTCCTGCCTGAGTCTGGGCATAGTCAGGCTCAACAGAACTTGTCCTAAAAACATGCACAGAATTGCCGATGATGTGATTCTTGGGTACACCTTTTGGCATAGCACTGTTTATTTATACACAGCCAAAAGTCTTTGAGGCATGGTAACAAAAAAATGCAAACAATTCAGGCACTGCTGGGAAGATGTATGATCTGTTTTCTAGAGACAAGGTAGGACTGGCAGGAAGAGGGGAGAGAAAGAGGGCTGGCAATGAGTCGGAGACAGGGGTCGAGAGGCAGGAGCAGAGGTCAACATTGCTAGAAGTTACCCAACCCAGTCCAAGGCTGTTTTCGAAATAAGTCCCTTTTGCATGACTCTGAGGAAAATCAGCCAGGACTGACCGCGTTTGTGTGCCGAGAGACAGGGAGAGAGACTTGGCAGATGTTAATTCCAAGGTGGGAGATTGTCATTTTTTATTCCTTTCAAGACAGTTTTTAATTAAAGATAGCCTCTGCCTGCTGGTGATGATGGATGATTTTGCAGTGGTGTGTGCTTTATAAAAAAAAAAGGGGGGGGAGAGACATCTACAACACAGAGCCCTTGAAATACGCACACAACACGGCAAAGGCCCCTTGCTGTGTCTCCTCGGCTGAGAAGAAGTCAACCACCTCTTGAGCCTGGGAAATGCCTTTGAACCTCACGGGCAGCCAGGGGGAAGTTGTGGAGAGAATGGTAGAGGCAAAGGATGGATGGATGGAAGGAAGGGGAGAAGAAAAGGAAAGAAGGGAAAGAAGGAAGGTAACAGGGAAGGGGGGGAAGGCTGCTTCCTGAAAGCTCCCTTCTCCTCCTACTGTCCCTGGAAGATGCCTTTGAATCCAGGGCCAGCCAAAGGTGCTGTGAAGCGAATGGTGGAGGTGAATGAAGCGGGGGGGGGGGGGGGGGGGGGGGGGGGGGGGGGGGGGGAGACCTCCTGGGGGGAGGGAGAGATTGAAAGGAAATGGATGAAGGATTGGAGGGAGACTTTCTCCTCCCAGGTCCCTTTGCCTTCTCTCAAGCCTGGAGGATGTCTTTCAACCCAGGGCCAGTTGTTGTGGGATGAACAGTAGAGGTGAATGGAGCAGAAGAAGGAAGAAGGGAAAGGAAGGATTGAAGGGAAGAAAGGGAAAAGAAGAGGGAAAAGGAGCAAATGGGGGAGGGAGACCTTCTCCTTCTGGAAGATGCATTTGAAACCAGGGCCAGGGGAAGTTAAAGGTGTTGTGGAGTGTCATAGAGGAATGGAGCAGAGGAAGGAAGGAAGGGAGAGAGAGATAGAATACAAGGAAGGAAAGGAAGAAGGGCAGGAGGGAAGATAATTACTGACAAGTCGTTTCTCCTCCTTCTCCTCCTGGAAGCTTGAAAGATGCCTTTGAAACCAGGGCCGGGGGAAGCTGAAGGTGTTATGAAGTGTTTTAGAGAGAATGGAGCAGAAGGAGGGAAGGAGGAAGGAAGGAAAGAAGGGCAGGAGAGAGGATGATAACTGACAGATCCCTTCTCCTCCTTCTCCTCCTGGAAGTCTGGAAGATGCCTTTGAAACCAGGGCCGGGGGAAGTTGAAGGTGTTGTGGAGTGTTGTGGAGGGAATGGAGCAGAGGAAGGAAGGAAGGAAGGAAGGAAGGAAGGAAGGAAGGAAGGAAAGAAAGAAGGAAGGGAGAGAGAGAATAAAAGGAAGGAAGGAAGGGAAGACAGGCAGGAAGGAGTCTGTTTACTGACAGGTCCCTTCTCCTCCTGGAAGATGCCTTTGAATCAATGGCCAGGGGAAGTTGAAGGTGTTGTGGAGTGTTGTAGAGGGAATGGAGCAGAGGAGGGAAGGAAAGGAGAGAGAGAGAGAATAAAAGGAAGGGAAGAAGGACAGAAATGAAGCTGTTTACTGACAGGTCCCTCCTCCTCCTGGGCCAGAGGGAAGTTGAAGGTGTTGTGGAGTGTTGTAGAGGGAATAGAGCTGAGGAAGGAATGGAGAGAGGGAATAAAAGGAAGGAAGGGAAGAAGGACAAGAAGGAGGCTGTTTACTGGCAGGTCCCTTCTCCTGGAAGATGCCTTTGAACCCAGGGCCAGGGAGAAGAAGTTGAAGGTGGAATGTTGTGGGGCTCCTGGGAGTTGGAGTCCCAGAGGAAGGAAGGAAGGAAGGAAGGAAGGAAGGAAGGAAGGAAGGAGTGAGAGAATAAAAGGAAGGAAGGGAAGAAAAGCTGGAGTCTCTTTACTGACAGGTCCCTTCTCCTCCTGGAAGATGCCAGGGCCAGAGAGAAGTTGAAGGTGTTGTGGAGTGTTGTAGCGGGAATAGAGCAGAGGAAGGAACTGAGAGAGGGAATAAAAGGAAGGAAGGGAAGAAGGACAACAGGGAGGCTGTTTACTGACAGATCCCTTCTCCTGGAAGATGCCTTTGAACCCAGGGCCAGGGAGAAGAAGTTGAAGGTGCTGTGGAGTGCAGTAGGGAGAATGGTGGATGTGAATGGAGCTGAAGAAAGGGAAGAGGAGAAGAAAAGAAAGGTAGGAGGCAGGTTGTTTTCCCACAGGTCCCTCTTTCTCCTCCTGAACCTGGAAGATGCCTTTGGACCCAGGGCCAGGGGGAAGTTGAAGAGGTGTTGTGGAGTGCTGGAGAGAGAATGGAGCAGAGGGAGGAGGGAGGGGAAGAAATGAAGGGAAGGAGGGAAGGAAGCAGGCAGGTCCCTTCTCCCCCTTCCCCCTCCCTTTCCCTAAGAGCCCCCCCCCCCCAATTTGCTCCTCGTCTCGCCCATCACACCCCAAACACGAGAGCAGGAAGTTTTCCTCTGCAGGCGTCGTCGTCGTCGGCGGGCGCAGGCGCAGGGGCCGGACTGGGCAAAACCTCTAGCTCGCCGTGCTGCCCCCCGCGAGCCCCCTCCCTTGGCAGCCCTTCCCGCCACCTTCCCTTGCGCCCTCGGGGCTCTTACCTTTGCGCTGATGGAGACGCAGAAGGGAGCGGGGAGGGGGGAGAGATCGTCAATGGGACGCGTGTCCTTGGCGGGCGAGACGCCTGCCTGCCTGCTTGCCTGCCTGCCTTCCTATCCCCGCGTCTTCCGTCTTCTTCAGGCTGGCGGAGAAGGAGGATGCCCGGGCACGGCGGGGGGAGGGGGAGGAGAGGGAGAAGGAGGCGGCTTCGGCATTGCAGCCGGGCTCCTTCTCTTCTCCCCTTCCTTTCTTCCTTCCTTCCTTCTTTCCTGGCTGCCTCTGCTGCAACCAAGGCCGGGGCTGCCTCTCCTGCTGCTGCGGCTCGTGCTGCCTCTTATGAGCGCGAGCGCGGCTGTTGCAGCAGAGGCGACGGAGGCTGCAGCTGGCGGCGGCGCGGCGTCGTCGAGACCATGCTCCCTTCCTCTGTTCCGCCTGCGCTGCCCAGGCTGGGCGCTTTAGCTGGCGGGGCGGGCGCGCGAGGGGCGGGCGGAGCCAATCAGGGCGGCGGGGGGCGGGGACAGGCCGGACAGCCGTCGCGGGCGGGCGGGCGCGCGCTCGCTCGCTCCCGACGCCGCCTTGTCTTCTCTCTCTCTCTCTTCTCCAACCCCTCCTTCTTCCCCTTTGCTCAACCCAACCCCGGCTCCCCCACCGGGAGGGGCTTCCAGCGGGCAATTTGCACAGCAGAGCGAGCAGGCGCCGCGGGAGGGCGGCCCGGATGCCTCCTTGCCTGCCTGCCTGCCTCGCGCTCCTATTTCTCCTCCTCCTGCTGCTGCTGCTGCTGCCAGATAGCGCGCGCCCTCCTTCCTCTCTTCTTCCTCTTCTCCTCCAGCACCACTTCTGGGGGGGAAAAAGTTGACGCCGCCGAAACCGAGCCGATTCCCCACCTGATCCGCCGCGCCTCTCCTCTCTCTCCTCCCTCCCTCCTTCTCTCTCTCTCTCTCTCTCCTTTTCTGACTCAGCCGGGCTTTATATAGCTGCGCCGGACTGTGCGTCCCTTGGACCTGATAATCCCACCGAGCTCAGCAGGCAGCCTCACCGGACCTCCTTCCTCCTCCTCTTCCTCCGCCGCCCTGATCCCAAACAGATCACACCTCGGCTCCTGGGAGGCTCCTTCCCCCTTTAGGAACCAGAGGCGCTCCGGAGGAGGAAGCCATCCCGACAGCCCTTCGGAAAAGGAAAGGGGGCACCCCGGCTTCTAGGCTGTCCCGAGCATGAGAGAAAAGGGAAGGATAGAAAGGAGGTGGGGGCGGGGGGGGGGGGGTTAGAAATAAACTCTTCTCGTAGCATGGAACTCTTGCTCGCATCCACCATAACTTCTGAGATGCAAAGAGATCTCTCCTAGTGGACCACCTGCCTCTGAATCCCACTGAAGACAGGGGCTGTTGTTATTGTTGTTCTTGTTTCCTCTCCATGTAATACTGCCAAGCATCTCTCATAACTTCTGGGATGCAAATAGACCTCTCCTAGTAGACCACCTGCCTCCGAATCGCACTGAAGGCAGGGGTTGTTGTTGTTGTTGTTGTTCTTATTGTTATTATTATTATTTCCTTTGTGTTTCATACAGCCAAGCATCCCCCATAACTTCTGAGACGCAGATAAATATCTCCTAGTAGACCACTTGCCGCTGAATCCCACTAAAGACAGGGACTGTTATTATTGTTATTGTTATTATTATTACTATTATTATTATTTCCTCTGTGTTTCATACTGCCAGGCATCCCCCATAACTTCTGACATGCAGATAAATATCTCCTAGAAGACCACTTGCATCTGAATCCCACTGAAGACAGGGACAATTATTATTTCCTCTGCATTTCATACTGCCAAGTTTCTCCCCTAACTTCTGAGATGCAGAGATCTCACCACTGTGGACCACCAACCTCTCAATCCCACTGAAGACAAGGGTTGTTTTTATTGTTATTGTTGTTCTTGTTTCCTCTCCATGTAATAGTGCCAAGCATCTCTCATAACTTGTGAGATGCAAATAGACCTCTCCTAGTAGACCACCTGCCTCCAAATCCCACTGAAGGCAGATGTTGTTATTGCTGTTGTTGTTGTTATTATTATTATTATTATTTCCTCTGCATTTCATACTTCCAAGCATCTCCCATCACTTCTGAGATGCAAATACACCTCTCCTAGTAGACCACTTGCCTCTGAATACCACTGAAGACAGGAGGTGTTATTGTTGTCAGGCATGTAGCCGGGGCGGGGGGCTTGAGGGGCTTCAGCCCCCCCCCCCAAAATTCTCATGGTGGTTCGCGAAAAGGCCTTACTGGTGCATTATTTAAACTGTTATGTTTATTCATATCATGATCTGATCACCATACTCAATATATCCCATATGCATGGGGGTATTGGGGTAATGATACAAAAGGTTTGCTAGGCTAGACCCTCTTTCACTCAGACTCAGCCCCCCCCCCCGAAACTCAGCCCCCCCGAACCTCCCCTGAAAATTTTTTAGCCCCCCCCCCCCCGAAACGAAATCCTGGCTACGGGCGTGATTGTTGTTGTTGTTAGTATTATTATTTCCTCTGCGTTTCATACAGCCAAGCATCCCCCATAACTTCTGAGATGCAGATAAATATCTCCTAGTAGACCACTTGCATCTGAATCCTATGGAAGGCAGGGACTGTTATTATTATTTCCTCTGCATTTCATACTGCCAAGCTTCTCCCATAACTTCTGAGATGCAAAGAGATCTCTCCGCATGGACCACCCACCTCTCAATCCCACTGAAGATAGGGGTTGTTTTATTGTTGTTGTTCTTGTTTCCTCTGCATATAATATTGCCAAGCATCTCCCATAACTTCTGAGATGCAGGTTAGACCTCTCCTAGTAGACCATCCTAGTAGACCTCTCCTAGTAGACCATCTGCCTCCGAATCCCACTGAAGGCAGGGATTGTTGTTGTTGTTGTTATTATGATTTCCTCTGCATTTCATACTGCCAAGCATTTCCCATAACATGAGACGCAGATAAATATCTCGTAGTAGACCACTTGCCTCTGAATCCCAATGAAGACAGGAACTAATATTATTTCCTCTGCATTTCATACTGCCAAGCTTCTCCCATAACTTCTAAGATGCAAATAGACCTCTCCTAGTAGACCACCTGCCTCCGAATCCCACTGAAGGCAGGGATTGTTGTTGTTGTTATTATGATTTCCTCTGCATTTCATACTGCCAAGCATTTCCCATAACATGAGACGCAGATAAATATCTCGTAGTAGACCACTTGCCTCTGAATCCCAATGAAGACAGGAACTAATATTATTTCCTCTGCATTTCATACTGCCAAGCTTCTCCCATAACTTCTGAGATGCAAAGAGATCTCTCCGTGTGGACCACCCACCTCTCAATCCCACTGAAGATAGGGGTTGTTTTTATTGTTATTGTTGTTCTTGTTTCCTCTGCATGTAATACTGCCAAGCATCTCCCATAACTTCTGAGATGCAAGTAGACCTCTCTTAGTAGACCACCTGCCTCTGAATCCCACTGAAGGCAGGGATTGTTGTTGTTGTTGTTATTTCCTCTGCATTTCATACTCCCAAGCATCTCCCATCATTTCTGAGATGCAAATAGACCTCTCCTAGTAGACCACTTGCCTCTGAATACCACTGAAGACAGGAGGTGTTATTTATTTATTTATTTATTTATTTACTGTCCTTGTATACCGCCGTTTCTCAGCCTAACTGGCGACTCAACGCGGTTTACAACAAGATATACAGTACACAGTATACAATTAAAACCATAAAAAACATAATACACAATATTACACGTAAATCACAATCCAATACATCTCCTAACTAAAATCGTGGTCCAATTGCATCATCCATATTACCAATCCGTAATCAACACATTCATTGCACCGAATTAGCCAAATGCCTGCTTGAACATCCAAGTTTTTAGTCTTCTTCGGAATACCATCAGCGAGGAGGCTGATCTTACCTCCATGGGAAGGGCGTTCCAGAGCCGAGGGGCCACCACAGAAAAGGCCCTGTCTCTTGTCCCCGCCAGCCGCACCTGTGAAGCAGGCGGGATAGAGAGCAAGGCCTCCCCAGAAGATCTTAGGGTCCTGGTGGGCTGATAGGCCGAGATACGTTCGGATAGGTAGGTTGGGCCAGAACCGTTTAGGGCTTTAAAGGCCAACGCCAGCACTTTGAATTGAGCCCGGTAGCAAATCGGCAGCCAGTGGAGCTGGTACAGCAAAGGAGTTGTGCGCTCCCTGCGCTCCGCTCCAGTTAGTATCATGGCTGCCGACCGTTGGACTAATTGGAGCTTCCGGGCCGTCTTCAAAGGCAACCCCACGTAGAGAGTGTTGCAGTAGTCTAAACGGGATGTGACCAGAGCGTGGACTACCGTGGCCAAGTCAGACTTCCCAAGGTACGGTCGCAGTTGGCGCACAAGTTTTAACTGTGCGAATGCTCCCCTGGTCACCGCTGAAACCTGGGGTTCCAGGCTCAGCGATGAGTCCAGGATCACACCCAAACTGCGAACCTGCGTCTTCAGGGGGAGTGCGAACCCATCCAACACAGGCTGTAACCCTATACCCTGTTCGGCCTTACGACTGACCAGGAGTACCTCTGTCTTGTCTGGATTCAATTTCAATTTGTTCGCCCCCATCCAGACCGTCACAGCGGCCAAGCACCGGTTCAGGACCTCGACAGCCTCCTTAGTAGCAGGTGGAAAGGAGTGACAGAGTTGGACATCATCTGCGTACAAATGACATCGCACCCCGAAACTCCGGATGATCTCACCCAGCGGCTTCATGTAGATGTTGAACAACATGGGAGACAATATTGAACCCTGAGGAACCCCACAAGACAAAGGTTGTGGGGTTGAACAGGAGTCTCCCAGTAACACCTTCTGAGACCGACCCTCGAGGAATGAGCGGAGCCACTGTAAAACAGTACCACCAAGGGCCATTCCCGCGAGGCGTCCCAGAAGGATACCGTGGTCGACGGTATCGAAGGCCGCTGAGAGGTCCAGCAGCACCAACAGGGACACACTCCCCCTGTCGAGCTCCCGGCGCAGATCATCCACTAAGGCGACCAAGGCTGTCTCGGTACCATGCCCCGGCCTAAAGCCAGACTGTGCCGGATCCAGATAATCCGTGTCTACCAAGAATGCCTGGAGTTGTGAGGCCACTACACGTTCCATGACTTTGCCCAAGAAGGGGAGATTGGAAACTGGCCAAAAGTTGACGAATTGAGTGGGGTCCAGTGATGGTTTTTTTCAACAGTGGTTTTATTACAGCTTGCTTTAAGCTGGCTGGAAATTTGCCTTCCCGAAGGGAGGCATTAACCACCACCTTCACCCACTCGGCCAATCCCCCTCTGGCCTCCTTCAGAAGCCAGGATGGGCAGGGGTCTAGGATGCATGTGGTAGCTCTCATTCCTCCAAGCACCTTGTCCACATCCTCGGATTGAACCAATTGAAATGAATCCATCAAAACCGG